ATTAACATGCCCTGAAGGTGGCGCCAAAACGTTCATCCGAAACGTTGCTGATCAACTACAATATTAAATGGCGTTAGCCCTAAATACCAAATTCTAAACAAATTCCTCCATCTTTTCCACAGTACATTCAAGTTATATTTTTCTCCTGCAGTGGGACAACTTGTTTAACAAACAAACAAAAAGACTGAGGAACCAACAAGCAAACAAAGCAACTTATGGCACAGCGTCTTCTTCATGGGTTGATAGTTATTGCTATTCCAGAATTTCCCTGCTTTTGTTGAATCTAAAAGTTCAGAATGTTTTCATTAACGTAAACCATTAGACACTACATCTCAGCCAGTATAAGCCGATTCATACTTTACACTCTATTTTTCAAACATGCATGTTAATATTATCCTCATATTTACGCCAAAGTTCCCCAAGTAATCTCTCCATTTTATCACCAAAATTATGTATGCTACACGTCTTGCCCATCTTTATTTAATCACGTAACAATATCAGGCGAATATTCAGCGTTACGTAATTTCCCCCGAAAGTTTGTAATTTAATATTTTTTTCATTTAATTCCTTCGTGAAATTCAAGTGAGATAAATGACTGAAGATTGTGCACAACAGTTGAACATTAAAGCCGAAAGTTAACTGTATGTACCTGCTGGATTAATAACCAGTAACGATGTATTTTGTGTTTCTGGGTTTTGTATGATTCTCATTGCAAATAGGGATTATTCCTTAAACGGCAATAACCATATGATTTTTGTGACGGTGAAGTGGTTTCTTTGCGGTACGTTCTGAATTCTGAACCATTGATTACGCGATCTTCGGCTTCAAAAGGTCAAAGAATTCAGAGACATGTCATCGACCAATGTGAACCAAAATTAAATTTACCGGACAATTACAACATCCACTGAGCATTTCAGAAGATTAAACTTCCTGCTGGATGGACACAACTTCTATTTAAACGCTGTCTTCGTCACGACTACGCGAACACAACACTTAGCTGAGCACTGAGGGCGTCGAGTTCAGTGCTCGTAAATTTAATTACTTAGAAATCTATAACAGATGCACGGCAATTATAACTCACTTCAGGAAATTGAGCAGCGACAGTTCCACCTCCTGAGAATGGCACCACCGGTAACAGATGACAAAGTCCCGTGGGAGAAGCGTGTCAGGTATTCCAAAACACTTAAAACAATTAGAAGCGTTTGTAAGTAACTAACAGTCTAAAGATGACATGTCTTCTGGGATGTTTGTTGACGTTTCTGAGGTGCTGCGATGATTATCTCCCTGATGATGGAGGCAGCAAACAAGCCTCAAACGCCGGTACGCTTCTACCAGACTGCACGCGCAATACCTCATAATACAGCCATCTTCACTTTCGCCGCCGTTAGAACCTGAACTAGTCGTCTAATTCCACAGCCTCCTTGTAAATTATAGACTTCTATCTAACGGAGCACTTGCACTCTTAAGTGACTAAGGAAAGCTATGAAAATTGGCGACATCTGAATAAGAGTCTATTACGTTAATCATAAATGGAATAATAATGGTGTTTATACACCTTTCCACTATATTCCAAATATGTCATACAATTCAATTTGTTTTCTTCCATGAAGAAACTAGTCGATTTCTTTGTTGGTTTATTTGACGACTTGAGTGTTCACACCCCTTTAACTTGTTATTGACATAACAACCATTACAATTTCGTTCCATTCAATAATTCTTCATTCCAATAGACTTTTACCACTACATGTTATTTCAAGAATAAAGAGCTTAAGTGCTAATGTACCGACAAACTACTGAGCGGTGTAACGTAAGAAAACGTCCTCTCGTTTAATTAAAGATTCTAAAAGTATTGTATGCACTTTAATATTCTTTGAAATTTAAAAAAGTATACAACCTATTAAAACATATATAAATGGTATCTTAATTTCAAATTATAACAGTCCACTATTTATAAGAGTCACTGAAGCAATGATAGTTAATTTTTAAAAGCTTATTGAAGCGAATAAAACTGAATGACTCCTTAAAATAAAAATGCAAGTGTTAGTACCTAGAGGAATAACAGCTAAATGAAAGGGTAACCTCGTTTCTTAGCTTGTGTATAGCGCTAATTTATACTCGTTTTAATGCGTATCAGTGGAAGTAATCTCCAAATTTAGCAGAGTACTAAGATGAAACCCCCCATGCTCGAAACAGAATGTACTAAAATGTCTTTAACAATGTAGAGAATTCAGTTTCTAGATATACACAAATTACGCAAAGAAATACAATATAAACAAATTCGAGAAATCATTATTTTTTTTTAATTTCATCTAGAAAATTTATCCTCCTATCTACTCCCCACAAAATTAAAATTTCATACATCTAGCATTTCTTTAGTTGTAAAATTCGGCTTCTTGTTCCGACATAAATCAAAACACGTACAGTATGTGAAAACAAAATACCAAGAAGAATATTAAGGAGAAATAAACTGTGTGTAAAACGAAAATAAAATACGTGTTGGGGAACACAGCTGTTATAAACACACACAAGCGTGATTAAGAGCAGTAATATGGTAAACATAAAATAGTCCAATTTTCACTGAAGTATGTGTCAGTGTAGTAAAAACGGGCTGGTCACTACATTTGTAAACACTGTATTTCTTCGATTTTAAGACGCCATCAAATTTAAGATGCAAGCTTGATAAAGAATAGGTTTCCAGGAAAAAGAGGCTGTCGGCTGTAATTAGTAATATGATTTCAGAAAAATATATATATTATGTCGATATTTAAGCATAAAACCTATTTGCATTAATACCTTCGGAATCTTTTCTGTTACTACCTTTGCATTTAGTGCCCCGTTACTAGTGTTATGGACATTAAGATTTTCCTTGCGCTTTAGTCATGCAATACAAATTTTCTACAACGGCCCTTAGACACCGTCAAATGCAAGACGCACCCCGATTTTATAAATTTTAAAATTCTCAAAAATAGAGTTTTAAAATCGAGGAAATGCGGTAAGTAACCTGACCTGACATATGGATGATTGTAGAAGGAAAATTCAGATAAGTAATTCATATTCAAACAAACACTCTTGTTAACATTGTTGTAACATTGTTAATAATAAATATGTATTGAAATAAAATTTACATTACCACCTGGCATTAACTATCAGGGCAGACCAATGAAAAGTATTTAACTTCGATGTTATGGACGATTCGATTCCTTGGCATCGGGAGACGATATGAAGGTGTTTGTACTCCAGGTTAGGGAATAGTTTCTCATTCTGAAAATTTTACTTCCACCGTAATAAAAGTAAGTACAACCATTTGTTTCGTTGATACACGACCGCTCTGTAAAGCTCTACGGCCAACAACAAACCTGCTTCCGACAAATTGTCTTTGCTTGAGAATGCGAAACACTTTACGTTCTGATATGTATGAGATCTTGGTACAATGTTTATGGGACCCCATATTAAATAAAATAACAGAGCACAATAATGAAGCAGTTAGAACTTGAAACGAATATCTATGAACAACTGCACCATATAAATAACATTTCATTAAATTCTAACATCCACAAATATACGTAAAAAACGTATGAACGATATTCAGAATCTTGTATTAAACGAAATTATTTTAACGTATTTCTCCCCACATTCTACCTAAAAAATAATGAACCACAGACGCACTGGTTTCATGTTGCTTGCGGCGTGTGCTGTATAACTGAAATGGTATCTCAAATACACGTTTCATGCATCCCACCCCAACGCGACCTACAGGCCTATACAAGCATATAAATATATTACATGCATAATTTAATACAAAGGTAACACTACTGTAATTACTGGACTTCTGGGATAATATTTCAACCAGAAATTAATTAAAACCACATTTTCTTACTTATAAATCAATTATAGTATTCTGATGAAATGGATATGGTTCCCTTAATCTCATATTTTCGTACAACTTAATTTTGTCGGGAAGTATAGTTTTCAAGTTGTTACATATATTTCAGGTCCGGGTTTTAAACCCATAGACCCGTAGTCATTAAGACACAGAATTTCCATCTGTGCAGACGAAAATGCGAGGAACCAGTTGAAATCGGCCGCTGGCAGTGTCAGACGCTTGTGGAGAAACGTTGGTGCAGAGCGTCAGAGAACCAAAACTTTCCAGGAGCCATTACACAAAGAAAATGTGTCACGTGACGCCGATTCCAATAATTTAACTACTGCGCACTTCCTTGTTACCCTAATGTCGCATTTATAATTTATGTCTTTCAAAGAAGAGTCACCTTTTTCCTGCTAATTTATATGGATGCAATGTAACTGATTCTGAGGTTAGAAACAAAGTTTATTGTTGTTTCTGATAGAAGATTCTAAATAGAAACCCACATAATCATTCCTCTCGTTTGTATGTGTGAAGAAAGGAAATGTAAAACACGTACTGTTAGTTAATTTAAAGGAAGATCTTCTAAGCCAACAAGTTGTATTGTATATTTGTGTTGTTTCTTTTTACTTTAATACATGTAGAAAACCAGTCACAAATTAAAACAGCTGCAATTAGTAAGTAGAATTTACCAACTCAAACAAGCAATAAATTTTTCTGACAACGCAAAATTGTGACATCAAGACACTCTGCATTACATTTCATACAGCAGGTAGAACCAAATTATTGAATCGTACTTTAAGTAAATAATTTTTTGCGAAATACAATTATTTGAGTATATTATTACCTGTTGCATTTGAAATTTAAAACATGGCGTGATGATGAGGCAATTAATCTATGTGTTGAACGTTTACTGCAGGTGATTAAAACGTGTTTATTATTTCCACAACCCATGCATATGTTACTGGTTGAAATTGTAACATTAATCTATAAATGCGAAATCAATGTTTTTGAAGATTTGCATAGTAAGGAAACTAAATTTCTAATATTACGAAAGTGCTATTGTTTACGTATCATTGCATGTGTTTAGTTAAAATGTGACAGTAAGTGATATTTTCGCTATGCAATTTATTTTCAGGTTGGTCTTATAAAGAAGAACCCATTCCTTGAACAAAGGTAGGGTGATTCCAAAGTTATGATGGCTGACCTGTCTCCCTGGAAGGTGACGAACATCAATAATACTGAGTATGACACGCCAGAGTCCTCGACTGACAACTCTTCTTTCTTTAAGTGGAAAAGTTTATCTTCTATTAATGACGAATATGCAACAAATATAATATTTATGGAACATCCCGAAGACATGTTGAAGCCATGGATCATTAATCCCCTCTTTTTTAACATAATTATCACTCACTCTATCACATTTATTTTTGGTCTGGTTGGCAATATTGTAGTCGTGATGGTTATGCTGGGGGACAGAAAGTCCCGCAGTGCTACCAACTTGTTCCTCGTGAGTCTAGCTGTGTCCGACCTTCTGCTGCTTCTGGTGTATGCACCGCTCGAGACGTTGCAGTATTTCGTGATGCAGTGGGATGAGAGTGCAGCTGTGTGCAAGATGGCGATGTACGCGTTACTGCTGTCTGCTATTGTGTCTGTCCTCAACCTCGCCGCGGTCACGTTCGAGAGGTGAGTCTACGTCCCTAAAAGACTTTACCGCGCTTTGCTGACTGTAGAACACCCGACAAGAAGGCGTGGCATCAGGATTTCAAATGTGTAGTGAGGAAAAGGCTGATATAAATCATTCCTGTTATTCAGCAGAGCGAATTGCACTGTACGGAAGAAAAACACACAACGCTCGAAACACGTGCTTCTGCGTATTCGCACATCCACGGTTTACTTCTGTATTATGAGGAGCATCAGTATGCTATCCGCGACCAAATTTCAAAGCGTTGAACCTTCTTCAGGCTAATCAGATAATTCTGGCGCCAGTTTGACATCAAATGGCGATTGTTACGTTTCCCGTTGTTATATGCGTTTTCGTCATACGCGGAGATTCGCAGGAACACAACCCATCGTGCATCACGAGAGCCAGTTGTACACAAACTGACGTGCCGTAACTCTTCACTGCCAAATCTGAATAAACCAATTTTTGTGGTTTAATTTCGTTTATCGCGCTGGTGCCACGACATATTTCCCAGACTGTACAGTCTAATAAAAATGTGGCATAGCAACACCTGAACAGATTTCACGACAACTTGTATCTAAATAATTCCTTGTCGTTCATATTTAACTTTACATTTCACCCGAAAATTTAACCTCCTGTGAAAACTGTTAAATAACCCAAGAATTAATTAATTCTCCAGGTTTAACAGTCAAAATATTCTCTTGCGTTTAAGAGAAACGTGGAAGTGATTTCTGTGAAACAAAGCAGTCTTAAGGCAAAATTGGAAAAATCGTAAGTTCCAACTGGAAGTAGGACCCTTCTTTTGTTTTCCAAAAACGTTATTTTCACTCACAATACAGATAACTTGCAACACATTTTCCTTATATTTTGTTACACGTGTTATAAAAAATAAATTTTAAGATCTCAGTACGTTCCATATTTCGTGTCGTCCATAGACCCGTCTTAAAAATCAATTACTAAACTAATTCCATGGATAAAAGTCTGTTCTGAGAATATAATGGTTGATTAAGACATTTCCCGCCTTTCATGGAACCGAATAAGTTCCTACCGTGCTCATTAGAGACCCTATAATATTAGCCGACTGGTAAAAAACATTATAATGACAAAGTAATATAATTAAAATAATTCTAAATAAAACAATTAATCCTACATTAATTCCCAATCTTGTAAAACAATCTGAACATTTCACGCCTTAAGGAGACACGTTTAAAAGGAAATCGATGCTTAATTTTGGGCGAAATGTAGGCCTACATGATGGCAAGTAATCACTTTCCAGATACGGCCGCCTTTACTTCATTCAAATGAACTCCAAGACCTGTTAAGTAGCAGGCTAAATGGACCCCAGAGCTCTTATGCTAATGAATAAAGTTAATCCCACCCCCACCCCTTTGGAAGTTCAGCCCTGTCGCTAAGTCTGTACCAGTGTATTAAATGATATCCATGGTACAGGCTCTGTACACTTCATGAACTGTGAATTACATTTGTCTGCTAGTTCATTTTTCAGAGCGTAGAGACTTCCACGTCTATGAAAATGTCACGGTAACAAAAATACGACAACTTATTAATATTCCAAGACCTTGACCTTTTCTTGAGATAAGTTTTAAGAACGGTTAACTTTTAAAATTTAAATTTGTATACTCGTGCAATAATACCATTAAATGCATAGCAAGTTCCTGAAACATTACCGGTTTCAAGTGGTTACCAACTTTTCCGGGGAACATGTCACCTCCATCTTCTGAGCCGCTGCCTACCACATCATTTCCAGTTAACTGTTTACTAATCATCATTAAAATATAACTTTACTGAGGACTCATTATGTTCGATCTGAAGCTAAAAATACCGAAATCAGAGATCACATGTCATAACACGTTTAACATCGATTCATTATTCGACTGAGGAAAACATTCACACCCTACACCGTATGTTATACGCAATAGACACCGCTGTTTTTAAATATTCAATGACGATGGATCACGTAAAGTACACTTGTTGCAAAATATCAATACAATTCTCCTACAGCGAATCTAAGCAGAAATATAATTCTCACCTTTGCTATGTTCCGTTTCCCCGAAATTAAGTAACAAACTAACGTGCTGTGATATGTGTTAAAACGCTTCCACTGTATGACACGCCAGAAAAACAAATTTCTTTCAATATCCCATCACTGGGCTCACCTAATTGTGAAGTACCCTTCATTCATCACGCAATTCACATTTAAACTACATATCCACCCAAGTGATAGTGACTTAATCCGAATAAATAGCTATGTACCTAGGTACAAAGTTAGGCAGTTATTTAAACTTACAAATAATAAAAATACCTGACTAATCAACAGAATATGAGCCCGATATTTTTATGGTGATGAAGATAAAGAATCCCAAGTTCCCCTCGGAAGAACCCCAGCTGAAAGGTTAATTAAAGTTACTTATTAATTAAGTACTAAAACCTGACTTTTTAAATAAAAGAACACACCCCGATAACTAAACTTACCAAGGACCTAAGTGGGTTTTGAAATTTTCACGGCGATGTAAGTATAAATAGTGGTCTTCTGGGTTGTTCGACCCTACAGATGGAGACAGTATATTCATACGAGGCGCTAGTATATAATCAACGTCTACACGGGACAATAACCGGGAAATCTAAAGAAGATAAAATATTCAGGAAGTTCTAGTCAACCTTTGTCCTAAACCCCTACAAAACATTGAGGATCGGTTTCATCGCATACGTAGATGGTCACTCAACATTTATTCAGACGAAACGCTGGCATCATCCGACGCATCTACACGGCGTCAAAACCCAGAACAATAACATCACAAAGTGCAGAAGAACTTCCTCTTCAGATTACAACATTGGCTTCAACCTTCCTATGACAGTCAAATGCAGTCTGTAATGAACTTCAAGTAAAATCTGATGGAGAATGGAAAACGACTGTCAAGCTGAAAATGAACATTACAAAGATCACTGAAGGAGACGAGAAGAATGACTCGTGCCACAATAATAGAGCTTCTACGATCTCTAGATTCGGACATTCATTTTCGGTATTCATAATTGTGAAGTTGGTACAGGATTTTTATCTGTCTCGAATGAAACACTGAGAAATAGATTAAGTTGGACGTTGCATTATGAAGAAACGCACACTTCGAAATACTGTATTAAATAATTTAATTTTGTTTTCAGGCAACTTCCCTGAGTAAAACAAAGCTGGATTACATTTACGCTGTGGTATCATTGGTCCAGACAAATCAGTCTTGAATCCACTGACCGTGCCTTCTTAATACCTGGTCACACACATCGCTGTGATCGGAATTTTTGTCACAAAAGATAGGAAACTTTTACAGTTTGATGAATGGTGTAATGTTATTAAAAATTAGCAATACGGGGAAGCAATCCATGGTGACACAAACCGATCAAGAAGAAGACACACTTTAAGTCACAGATTGTTTCATAGATAAAACTGAGCAGTCTGTGATGATGACAGTCCCCTAGACTTCTCCAGAGACGTCTCATTCTAGTTCATTATTGAAAAGATATATACAAAATATTTGCAAAGCACTCAGTTCATGACAAATATGTCCCTGTTACTACATATAAAGAAACATGGAAGGTCAGTACGTATTGACAGGTTGAAGCAAAAATATTCTGGACGTTTCCTACTCTATCGAAGGGAGATTATAAATGGATAGACGATTAAAGATGTTCAAGATCTTGTTTTATTCCTCCAAATTATCATGATATAAATTTGAATTTGCAGTTTAAGTGAAGATGACAGTGATAATGTCTTTAAGGACAATAATTAGTTTTCATTGTGCAATAAATCAATTTAATGTTATTTATTTTTATAATTCCTACAATGTTTAATGACCCTCCCTGACAATATTTATGAAACATTTACTTCCCTTCTGAAATAAAAATGATAAAAAGTACGTTTTTCACAGAATGTATCAATAATCAGTTATGTTTGTAACTATTAAAATTCGGGATATGTTGCTGTTCACGAATGCGGGTGGCGTCGAATTTTCCAGTCGATTATCAGTTTCATATGCCGAATTACAGAGGTTTACGAATATATATGACTTATCTATATTTTTAAACCAACTGACCTTAACATAAATCACACATAAACAAACCAACAAACACACTTGAATATAAAATCTGAATCTAAACAAAGCCGAAGCCGCTACACGTTAACTGCAATAAGATACAAATAGTACCAAATGGTTTATTTTGCCTGTCATGTGCGTAACTGTCTCTCATTCAAATGGGGAATGTTTTAATAAGAGCTCAAGCGTTCCAAAAGTGTTCTCCACGCCACATAACGGGCGGTGACGTAAGCAAGTTCTTTTGTCGATTGATAACCACGGCTCAAAACAACTGTGGATTTAGACCACTCTTACTCAATAATGACATAGCAACAGTGGTATCCAAGGTCACTGTTGCAGTAATGTGATCTGAGGCAGTTTCTCAGAGTCTTTAATGACCTACGTATTTTCTCACAATGACAATGCCTTCGGTTCTAATCGTTGCTCACCAATGTGCTTCAACGACGACTTCTACTCCCATTGTCGCTACCACGTGTTTCAACAGTAACCACATGGCATGCGGGTTGCTTAATACTTAGGAAGAAGGCGACACACACAGACATATGGACGGATCCATAGGTACGCAAGAGAGTGATAAACACCTAAAAGTAACATGTAATTTCTGATCTCTTTCCTATTTTTTGCGTTCACAGATTTCGACCTCTAGTTCTGACAAATTGAATCCCTTGCCCATTTAGTAAGATCCATCTGACGGGCGACTGAGCCATCGCAAGACGTTTGCCAGAACAGTCGAGTTGCGGACATACAACCATGCAACGGACTGGATTCCAACCCACCATTTCTGTGGTGTAGCAGTCACAAGACTTACCCACACACCTTACATTTAAGCCTCGTGCCTGTTTGTTTCAATATGAAGAACTGTTCGTATCAAGAAAATGTTTTCATAAAGTTGCCGTGCTGTCTAATCACACTATATACCTGCCGTATTACACTGCTTATGTTTACATGATCTAAAATAATAAGCAGGCCCCTCGACATAACAGTACTTCATACTTCTCACTGAATTCCAGAACTCTCCATTACATATCATTCCAGTCCCTTACCTTTAGCCAGTCTCCTTCGGCTGCAGTATCCGTTCCACACTGAATGTCGTCTGTTATCAAGGCTTTACAAATTTAACTACTATAACACATGTCAAATTATATTATTCCACACATTAGCACACTAATATCACGTCACTTTAATTAGAAAACGTATTATTAAACGAAATCTCAAACTTCGTTTCGTTACACGTCTCGCCATCACGTCACTTTAATTAGAAAACGTATAATTAAACGAAATCTCAAACTTCATTTCGTTACACGTCTCGCACACACGGACCGAACTTCGTTTCTTTCCGATCTGTCATTCGTCACAATTCGGAGATCACTTCGGAAAGTTATGCTTGTTGCAGGGCCCACTTCATTTTCATAGAGAATGTTGCTCGCAGAGCGAGAGAGTTCATAATAAGGCAGTTGTTTTCTATACAATTACGTCCAAAATGAAACTTGGTTTAGTCTAGACATACAATCCTTGAAAATTTAGACACCAGAGGGAAATTACAATCGTTTTCTATAATCTTGTGTGTTTTTCTGAGACGGAGAGACGTTGTAGTTCCTTCACCATTCTTTCATTCATTTCTCGTCTCTTATTGGCCTACTCCCTCAGTCTTCCCTCCCTATACAAATGCCTCCACTGCCCAGCATCGCCACTTCAGCCCTGAAGATGAAAATAATTTGTGTCTGCGAAACGTTGACATATATATATATATATATATATATATATATATATATATATATATATATATATATATATATATATATATATATATATATATGCACGAATATACTCGGCGCTAAGACCCATAAATAGAACAGTAATTAATATTATTTGTTATTATTATTATAGGAGTAACTGAAGCTGTCTCCAAGTCATTAAAAAAATATTTGGGCGAACACGACATTAGGGTACTTCTGAAAACTGTCATTCTAGGATCATCATACATCATTCGAAAGACCCTGATGTAAAATATATTGTCATCCCTAACAATAAAATTATTTATACATGTAACACGTATTAAAAACAAAATGTATTTCAGAAATTGCTGCTGCACAGTGTACCTCAGGGGCAAGGTTTGTCTCAGGTACATAGAAATAAATACCCTGTAAAATAGTGAATAAATTAAACAATAATACTGCCCAACAACGAATCCTTTAGTATACCCTGTAAAATAGTGAATAAATTAAATAATAATACTGCCTAATAACGAATCCTTTAGTGATGGTCGAAAAATCGAATACTTCTACAGGATTACAGCGCACAGATAATCACGAATGTAGATTAACACTGTATGAGGTATTAGAACCAGCGATCTTTTTGTTCAAGACAGCACAAAGCTGTCATTTTCATGTTATGTCTCAATAACTGATTGAATATTTGTGGGTACTGTTAATCGGCTAATGTTTTATTTTTCCGACAGGCCTTGTATTAGTAAAGAGGGCCTATACTGATTGAAGCTTCAACACAAAAATCTTCAAAAAGAATACGGAAATGACGTCACGAAATAAGAATACCCATAAAATTGTTAGTCTAGCACTGTGCACTGACAGTCTTTTGCGAATAATGAAGGGTGTAAAACGTTTATGACTAACAGCCACCAAGTTCACCGTTTCTCGTATCGCTGTTTTTTCCATTAGCATTTGTTTACTTTTTATGACGCGCGTCTCAATTGTGCTCATATTCTTAACAGGTTATGTAGATGAGAGGGTAGTGTGTCTGCACTGTATTAAGGTTAATTAAATTTACCTTCGCACGAGGGACCACTTGATATCTGAGAACAACAGCTTGTTCTTTTGGAAATATCGATAATCTGAATATTTTGTAGAGATGCCTGGCTTGTTAACAAATGAAACGTCGATACATTTGGTAGTTTCTATGTTCACGTGTAAATGTTTTACAATGTTCATTAAATATAAACTGCCTGATAATGCGATAAATACTCCACTCTGATCTTGTTTTTCTGATAACTTTTAACGAATCTACTAATTTGCATTAAATTCAGCAGAAAGTTAATATGCCATCTAGACGCATTTATTTGCCTGTATATGATCATAATAATTATTCCAGGTGTTTCTATGAGAAATGGGTTAACAGCCCTTTCTAAAAGTCGTCGACCTATTAAAATTTTTATTCACATTAGCCACTGTGGACGGTAAATTTGAATGGGTAATATACATTTCAGGCAAATTTCTGAGTAATTATCAGCTGCAAAAGAGGAATTTCAAACGAAAACTTCAAAAGTATTCATTCAGACATATTTTATTAAGTCGCTAATTTTTTTTTTCCACATAACGATCGTCAAATAATAAATTGGACTTCATGGTTATAGTACATCCAAATATATGTTACTATTAGGGTACAAGAATATGTGTATTTTATACTTCAATAACAGAGTTCCCGCTGTTTTACTACAGGCAAATTCAATAACAACATTTATCAATTTCTCTTTCCCGATAGATTGTCATAGGCGTGATCATTTGATATCTATCGTCGATTATCACAGAAAATAATTATTATCCCTATTCCCAAGAACATGCCTTTACAGCATATCTATCGTCGATTATCACAGAAAATGATTATTATCCCTGTTCCCAAGAACATGCCTTTACAGTGATTTATAGAAATTATTTATTCGTCAGGATTTTACCTATTCCTTCCGCACGAATGTTTTTCTTTGTTTGTCATCAGTCTTTCGACTGATTTGATGCGGTCCTCCATTTTCGCCTATCTTGCGCCAATCTCTTCATTTCCACATATTTTTTGCAGCCCACATCCTCTAAAATCTGAGTAGCATATTCCAATTGTTGTCTCCCCTTACAATTCTTCCCTTCCATTACTAAATTAACCAATCCTGGGTGCCTCAGAATGTGTCCCACCGTCCTATCTCTTCTTCTGGTAAGATTTTTCCTCTCCAGGTTACAACTATCACATCTAATTCTTACTTGCAGAAACAATTTTGTGTGTGTGTGCTCTTCCAGTACCACTGCCATAACAAACATAAGTTGTTAAAATCAGTGTTTCTAACTTAGCGATGATTTTTACAGGTTCATTGTGATCGTGTTCCCGATTAAGTCTCGGTCACTGTGCACGATCAGCAACTGCAGACGTGCGATCTTGCTGGTGTGGTGTTTGTCTCTATTACTCACGTCACCTGTCATCCTGACAAAGGTAAGTCTAGTGAGCTGTCTACGGAGCGCGCACAAAACAAACACGGAGCCTACTCTAGAGTAAGCCGATGGTTGCAACGATTTTCAAAATTCTGAACACAAACACATAATACATAGACAATTATTAAATTCTTTGTATGTGTGACTAAGATAAAACATTTCGGTACTTACAATAATAAATCAGACATGCATTCGCACAGAAATTAAAATTAAATTAATTCGGGGAATGCTTGCTACCATAAAGTTCGAAATCTTTTGTCTGCTGTCCAAAAACATAAATATAAAATAAACAAAATTATATTTTCTCTCACATTAAGGGGATGATATTATTCTGATCCAGAAGAGGGCAGAAAGTGTAATCCGAAAAAGCTGACTAATTCGATGTAGTGGAGTCCTTCCAGTAGCTAAAATTCACTCTCCTAGCCAAGAAAATTGCCTCCTTTTATGTAATCCTTAGATTCGTTGAAGATTCTGTTCACTATAGCCCGCTACTGGGCCCTGTTATGATCCGTCTTAATCTTATTTTCCCATTTATGCCTTAGTCTTCAAAGTGAGCATCTCCTACATTTCTCGAGCTCTTACGAGCATTTCCATATACTTATCATTTCTTACAACCGCGCAACATGTCTCTGACTTAATTATCGTTAACAGTTTCGACTGAATAGTTCATAATAGTGAATTTATTTTCCATACTTATTTCCCTTTTTAGCGTTAAATGTTATCAGCACTTTTCCTCAAACAACTTCCATGTACTTTCTTTTATTCCAGTGAGAGACTAAATTTTACAGTGCATGTAATACCAGTATACAAAAGAATAGTTTTTGTGCTTCAGTCTATAGGCAGGACACGTGAACTTAAAGGCTTCCAAGAGCAGCGAGCATTTCCCAAACAGAATCTGTTCTTAATTGTATCATGAACATCATTTTGATTTGTTACCAAGTGACACAAATTTAAAATGTTATTAATGTTCAGATCAAAAGCAAAAGAATGTTATTTAGGCTATTGTCATCTTAATATAAATTTAAAATGCCTCGCTTTAGTAAAACAAGAACTGAACAAAAATTTTGTTTGGGAAAACACATTATACAGGACCTATTTAAGAGACAGAGCTATTAATGAGGAGTTATATTAAAATTTAACCTCGGAAAACACGATATGAAGATAAAAGTAAAAATTGTAGAACCAGCTTAGGAAAAAAAACCGGAGTTCTAAGGCGGTTATGAACTGTCGAGATGTTACAGCATAGAAGTTATGTAAGAAGTCTGTAATTAAGTATAGGCCATGTACCAAGGACTTAGTGACATTAAACGGCATGGCGGTTTACCAAGCCTTCAAGTGCTTCTTTTCTCTTTATGTTAAATTTCTCGAGTTAATTTAGACACTGAAGTCCGTCCTATGTTCCTTTATAATATCGTCTGCATAAAGCGGTATAATTAATTAACTTTCTCATTATTAGTTCTACACGAAGTCAGCCATTTTAAATCGTTCTTTCCTTTGTGTCAAAGAAATGAGAAGATAATGAAAATGTAAAATGTAAAATGTGTAGTAAAAATACTACAAACATCATTAAAGTCTAAATCAGGGATAAGATGTATTTAAGGAGCCAAGCAACGAATTTCTAAAATTGTATGAAAGTATCGCACAGACTACAAGTCTTTATGCAAGAGTTTTGAAAGAGCTGGCATGAAAAATGTATGAATAATTTATTAGAAAGAGGCTTGTCCTGGCTACAATTACGAAGCTCAAGAAGATGGCAGACATATATCTGCGAAACATACGCACGCACTCCATCAAATAAGAAGCAGGAATTTGAGTACGTATACCGAATAAACTTCACGCAGAGAAATATTAAGGTAAAGCCAAAATAGTCTCTGATACTTAATTACACACTACGTCAGGCAGATGGGCACTGGAGGTGTATATCCACGCATTTTTACCGTCTTAAATGCATGGAGGTGAGTGATTAGCTTTACGCCCCAGCCGCTTTAACCCCAGTACCAACTGAATAAGAGGCGGTCTGGACGCTGTGGCGTAGTGGAAAACGAACCCCGGTCTTCCAGCCCACAGCCTAGTCACTACATTGACTGAGCTATACTGAATTATTGAATGTTAGAGCAGGCTGTGCATTTCGTTGCTACTGTGCTTTCAAATGAGTGATCAGAAAGAAAGTAGTTCGGATAATGTTATAAATATTAATTATGTAAATATTTGTGTAATTTACGTATTAATTGCTCAATGAATATTTTATAAAAAAACAAAATATAAATAATTCAATTACTTTTTTATTTATTCATACACCCAATATTTGTTTGCTTTTTATTTTAACGTCAACAGTTATTGAAAATGCCACTTGATCAATTGCTAAATTTTATTTGAAAATTCTGAGTCTTTGAACATTCTAACAAATACGGAATGAAGGCCACAGCAATACAAAGTCCAGGTCAAATGTGAGCTTTTTATCCAATGGGAAGAAGTACGATAACTGAGGAGGATAATAAACTGTAAACTTCAGGAATAATATTCCCGTAAGTGATTGTCGTCGCTAATAAATATTTTTATGAAGTTTTCATAAATACAATTCAAGACAGTGCTACATACCCGACAGTAGTAAAGTTATCATTTATCAAGAGAGTACCTATGTTCTCGGAAACGTTCAGAAAATACCCTTCCGTAGGGCGAAACGTATTAAACATCAGGTGAAGACTCATCGTAAGCGTTAATTTCTTTCTTGTAAAACAAACTGAAATTTTATAAATAAAATCACGATTTGCGGCATACGCGGAAGAAATAAACAATGGACTTGGTAAAACCACGAAAGCTACAGACAGAAAAACGAGTTACAAGCTAAAGGAACTCATTCCTTGTGAAATTTCGTACTAGATAATAAATGTGACTGGGTAGTCCCTCTGTGATCGTGTTGAAAGCTTCAAATCGTATGTAAGTGTAATGTTAGCTGTGTGTAAATTATTCTTTGAAGTGACATTTATCAATAAACTGTTATAATTTATTTTCTCTGTATATTGCTAAGGGGTTGTTAATTTTGCTTTCAGCAAAATGTTTGATTTAGTGAATATTCATTGGAATGAACATGTTCTATATGTTGCAGATTAATAGCTAATTTCTCGATCCAAAAAGAATTACTTTTTATATTACAGTAGACAGTCCTGTTCCCAACTCATCTGAATATCTGTCATCTACACTTTGTAATCACGAATGTATCTGCGACTCCATTTTCAGAATCTTCCCAATCACTTCTTCCTTATGTTCACATTTATTTATACTGACAGGCGTGTTGCATACACGTGGTGTATTTATTAGACAAATAATAAAGTTCTCACCAGCGAAAGTTTATTAAAATATTTCTTACAAGTAAAAATACTAATACAGTAAACTCCCGATTATTTGGGTTGGTTGAGAAATATATTTTCCCAGATAATCGAAACCCTGGATAATCCGCAAAAAATTAAAGAAAACATGTAAATGTAACAAATACGTAAATTTAACACAGACATACACTACTTAAGCTTTTAAAACTTCACTAATAAGAAATGATTTTATATCAAATTTCACATAGAACATACCAAAAATTTTTAGAAAGGATTCCAACGCATAGTAATAATGTTCTCTTGTCGTAAACTTCAGATTTTAGCAACAAATGCTTTGTGTTAATACATTCAATAATATGTCATTGTTGTATTTATTCCTTTATTTTTAAAGGCACTATCTTTTACGACAGATTTTCTAAATTAATTTTAATTTCAGCCTAAACCAGATATACCCCGGTAATCCGCCCCCGGGTAATCGGGAATCTACTGTATTCTTAAATCTAAGAATATAAAAATTCAATTAAGCTTGAAACGGAATTGCTAAAGTCGTTTAATACATTTTACTAAAAGTTTATTAAATATATGCGACTTTATACTGAATGAAATTATTTTTGTGTTCGAATACAAAATATCTTTCTTGTACTAAAAGCGTGAAAATATTTCTCACCTTTAAACATATATTTATGAGAAATTGCAGCGAGCAAACTTAGAAGCCTTTACGACGTAAGCGAGTGCTGTAAGCGAGACAAACAGTACGTGAGCGGCAAGGGAATTGTCGCATGTTGCTCTAAAATTTTTATATCTTACATGTGCATAAACATGACGGAGTCGAAATCTTTTCAGGAAATGTCATCATAAATGTTCACTCCGAGGGCGACACATTTGATTCCGGGAGGTAAAGTTGGTATAAATCTCAGAGAAGTTGTTATATTTCTACACTTTATTTATCCTTCAAACTTTCTTTAACCTTTCGAGAAACAGACATAGCATCTGGTGTTCATATCAAGGGTTAAAATCAGTTACCATGGTGTATTTTATTAAAATGGTAGAGATTCCCTCGCTCTAGAATACTAAGCAAGTGATTTCCAAACTGTGCGTTACACTGACAGCAGGCATCTCATCCTTACAGAATACTTCCTTCTCGAAGTTATAAAACTTGTCGCAAACTTCTTCCAAGAAAAACACAGTATTTTAAATATTACAGTTTAGACAACGAAGCATACGGTTGAGTGACAAGGCTTGTAATAATATGACAGTCAGCTCGAATGTCGACTGATCCTGGCTGATTTTTGTGAGTGTACTCATTATGTCAAAGCGAATGCTTAGGTACTACCTTAAAGTACGCTGAGACGGCTTTCTACGTTCTAGAACACGTACTTAATATTTTGAGAATAAATAAAGGGCATAAGATGAAGATAGCTGTCTTCTGGGTTGTTGCCCTGATGATGGAGGCTGCACGGATCTCTGAAACGTCGGTATATTTTACCAGATTACACGGCGCAATAACCGAGAAGACAGCCATCTTCGAACTCACCGCCGTGAGAACAGCAAAACTCTCAAGGGACAAGATAAATGATTTAAACACAGATAAATACTTAACGATATAGTATTAATTGAGGACAATTTGAAATATTACAAATTAATTAAAAACTGTCGTTTCCAGGCCCTCGAGAATCAAACTTGTGGACTTCAACGTTCTACGACAAAACAATCTGAAATGACACATACGGTAGAGCAATTATGGTTCAGTGTATAACTCACTACGTGACAAAGAATCTCCTTTGATCTGTTCCTAGTTGCTCAGGAGGTCACATACCAGTTTAATTTATTTACCATATTCACTCCCATTACTATAAATTCAAGTGTTACTATTTTCCCATGCACTCGTAGTCTCTTCTATCTTCAATTGAGATTTCTAACAAAATTTTGGTAAAAGATTGTTGTTTCCCTCAATCAAGCTACAAGTCCGGCCCATCTGTTCTTACATGGCTTAATCGTATCAATAACAGGACACATAATGTAAAGCCCCTCATCATTAATTTTCTCACTTCGCAATAAGTTACGCTCTTGTCTTGGACGAAACACCCTCTACTCTAACTCTGGATTGTGTATAGGTTGCTTTATGCCATTTTTGCTAACTTTAGGTGACACAGATTCTTGGCCGTCTTAATGCGTTTTTGCTTTGCACCAGACAGCAAGTGAGTTCACTCAGCCAGTAGAGGCGCTGCCTTCCAGACTCTTGGTGACCGAAGTGTGACGGAGCAGAGTGTTTATTTTAATCGTATCAGCCGCGTTAGATCAGCTAACACTTTTAAAAAAATGTAGTCATCTGTCTCACTTTCGTGGTTTAGTGGTACTCCATACATTGGCAAAGAACAGAAGCGATCAGATAAAATCCATCGTTAGCCACCTCCATTCACCCAGGCTTTGTTATGCTCGCCGCAAACGTAAGCCTCAACTAGCTGTCTAACAACGCCTAGCAAAAAGGAGTTATCCTTTCGCCTTTATTTTGCATAAGACAAAGTTTTATTATTGTATTTAACGAGAAGTTCTAGGATGAAGCATAGGTTAGAACAGGTTTCTTATTTACTTCATTGTACGCATTATTTCTGCATTAACAAAGGCTGGAATTTTGTCGGCTATGTTAAGTTAAACTGGTTTTAAAAGTTTAATTCTTTGCTGCTTCATAATAATCATTTTATCAATACAAGAACAATCTTTTACAATCTGTTTATTATGTAATTAATATCAGGTTTTAAAATATAATAGACTATAACACGCGACATATCTTGGCAACATCTGTGTCACATCAGAAATTGGCTACATCAACGATTAAGGCCACCGAAGATTTGCAGAGACTTTTTTTGGTAGATTTTTATACTGACTCCGTGATTTTCTATCATTTCACGTTAATGTGGTAAGAATTGTATTCGTACTATGTTTACGAACTGCATCTACCGCTGTAGACTTTTGCCCTCCAAATGAAAATTCATTCCCTGTATGTGTCAATGCAATTAAAGATATAGAGTTTCACTCGTCGGAAGGCAGAATCGAAACCAGGACGAACAAAAACACAGCACGGATTATGTTAGGTTAAGGAAAATAAAACTGTTTTGTGTTAATGTAGGTTATGTTGCCTCATGTAAAGTTACTAAATATTATAATATCAGTTTCTCTGAGATACATAATGTTTCTCAGATTTCGTTATGTGTGTTGGTATTTGCCTCAGTTAAACAAATTTATTTAGAGAATTTCTCATGTGTTCAGAATTATTGCTATTTCAAGAAGAGACAGACAGCACTGTACCTCAATCAAAGCCAATAAAATGTACGTAGTTAATAATTTGTCATTGCAAAATTATTATACTTTTCCGCTAAGGTATAGTCTCCATTGGAGAGTTTAACCGAAATCCGATAATACGAGTAGATTCGGGAACTAAAAAAAGATACGCTTGCTTAAAAACTTGTTTGGTTCACATAAGCGACTGTCAAAATTAAAGAAAGCTCTGATGTGAGCGGAAAGTTCAAAGATTATACAATATTTCGGTTGGATAAAGTTCTTTAAATATTTAATGGACAAAAGAACACGTGAGATGGCATGAAAATCCTCCTCGAACAATGGGTTGTATTGTAAAAATTTAATCGAATTTTCGACTGTTCAGTTCACTATGTTCTTGTGCCCACAGGAGACATTTACCATAGTGTACAGCAACAATGTGACCAACGTGACCCTGCACTACTGCAACGAGACGCAGCAGAGCGGGAAATTCGCGATTTACCAGTTCTTGGTGTTGTTCTTTGTCCCCGGAACGCTGATGGTCGTGTGCTACACGTACGTGATCCGGGAACTTTGGCGCAGTACCAGAAGCATGCAGGTGCTCACAAACAGCGTGAGGTAAGGCATCTGGCGATGTATGGCGATTAGGTTAATAATTTATCTGTGCAAATTACAAAGTAATAAAACCACTGGGTAACTGATCAATGGCTAGAAATCGAACTAGGCAGATCTCGATTGTGATTCCTGCGAGTTACTGGTCGTTAAAGTTGGGATGAATTTTTAGGGTGAATTTCATAGTCTACTTTTCCACAAAGACTAAGACGAAACGTATCAAAGCATTTCACGGTCTTTCTTTGGCTAGAGTAAGTGTCTGTATTGCAGAATTCGAAAATCCGCCATTTCTGAATCGTTGAAACTAGATTTGGAATTATGTGCTGCCTAATACTCGAAGTGGTGATACCAGCCAAAACGAGAACACCTATCTTGAGATCTAGGCATTTTATTTCTTTCAGTAAAATATTGTGGTATATATTGATTTCTTGTGTATCATAACACAGTCGTAAAATGTCGAAGAGTTGGTAAACAGACTTTGACTCTTGACTCCTCGCTCAATGTGGCGTCGTATTTTCGTATTTCTAAGATATGAAATGTTTTATTACTTCACGGATGACGTCTTTCTTTGGAAATGGCTCCTATAAGTTCAGAAATATCGGTCATCTATTAAATCATATTTTCGATCCATTATCGTAACGGGGACATGCTGTGGTTTCAAGGTTTTCCAATGTTTTGGCTAACAAAGCAGTTTCCATTTTCAGGAAGAGTCTTGAATATGAAAACTGCAATGTCTGCCGAAGCGTTGCAATTCCATCAACACAAGACGCAGCTAATCACTTAAAGACCCTAGTAAACATGAGGGATACCTACGCACATAGTGCCTTGCATACTTACTCTTGCTGTAATATTTCTTCAGCATGAAGTCCAAGCTGCACAACGGTTCTGCTGAAGGGACTTCAGGACAGTTTCATATCAGCAATGGAGCTACAACTTGCAGGACTGCTCTTATGAACAGGGTGGGAAGGAAGCACAGGGGAGACGACGCAAGGAAAGCACGGAAACAGGTTTGTCCTTGACTTTACGCAAAAAGTATGAAAACATCAGGCAAGTTTTAATTTTGCTGCCAGATGAGTCATCATAATATCTTTCTGGTCTGTGAATGCAAATGGTCTTATAAACGATTCGATACAGTCTTCGAGTTATATCTAGGCTGGCCACTTCCTGTACATTGAAGAGTTGTCGAAAGTGGCTCCCAGGAGAAACTATTAAATTGTGGTAAATTGTTTGTCCACTTTTCAGGAACTTATATTTTTGTCAAATGGAGGTCTGACAAAAACTTCAGAACATAGTTAACACGCACAGCTACCACTTCTCTTCACTCTTGCTGTCACTAACCTATGCTATTTCCGTTTGTTTGTTGCAGGTGATCAAAATGCTCATCCTAGTGGTAGTCCTATTCTTAGTGTGCTGGGGCCTACCCATCATCATGGAAGTCATCATCAAGTTCAATCTGCATTCATTTACTCCCACAATGTACACACTTCGTGTAACTTTCAATCTTCTGCCTTTTATTCACGCTTGCATGAATCCTTTTATCTATTCATTTATGTCCAAAAATTTCCGTCGTTCTTTGCAACGTCAATTAGAAAAGTTGGGTTGCAGGAAAAGGAGGCGAAGTGGCAGTGACGTCATGACTGGCCACGGGTCCTACTCACGAGCCAGTAGAATACAGCGCGGTACTACCACAGTGCAGGGTTTAAGACACAAACCTGGGCGTGCCTCGACTTCTTCCAGTACTACCAATTGTCTCACCGACCTAACTAAACCCACAGACACTGAACAAGCTTTGCTAACACTGCATTCCGCAACTTCGGCTGTGTGAGTGCAGATAAACGCTTTTAAATCCCCAGAGTCTTTTGTACTAAAACTGTCTAAGAATATAAGCATTTGTAGAGACATACTTTCATTTTATAGGTATTAACCCGTAGCATAACAAACATTGAGAGGCGGGACGCGTCTACGTTCTGAAACTGTATTATCGTCGAAAAATATCGAACATAAAAACATCGCTAGGATCGGGCTGTGGCACAAAAAATGTAGTTGCAGGCTTACATAATTCTGAGGATTCTGTGACAAAACGGCCTAGTAGTATTACCCATTAATATCTCCCACAGGAAATATTGAAAGTAGTTTCATACTCAAAACTATTAGTGTTTTTAAATTCAGTGGGCGAGAAGAAAGACGAAACGGCGGCTGAAGTTGTTCACTTCAATTACCTACATGTGGCAATGACGCACATTCATTTTATGCTCTCAACCACGGCAGCTCACTCTGACCTCTCACCAGATACCTATATTCATAACATTGTAGAAACCATGCTAACTACTGGTCACCTGTTCACTTGTACCACTGGTTTGCATGAAATGACTTAGTGTAGGGTCTTCCTTGAGAACTTTGTCATTACTGTCACTCAAATTTCGTGTGATGAAGCCCAACATTTTTCAGGTAGCAGAACGGCCGTAGTCTTTATAATAGCCCGCTTCATATTAGTGCTGAAGAGGTTGCCGAAGCAACACGGCGCTGTCCTCTTTTCGTCAGAGGCTTGCGTTGAGTAAATTGTTCTTATGTTTAATTAAAACATTCTTAAGTGTTTGACTGCGAAGTAACTATTACTCGTGGATAAAATAAGAGATTATTAAACAAATAGGATGTCTTTCCCTTCTTTAACTTGATTCATGTCGCTAGATTTAAAGAGACTTTACTTTTATATCCAGCAGAATATTCTCGTAATTTATCATTTACTTCCATAATCTGCTTACATGATAACTTCAAATCTTAATAAAGGGGTGCTTAAGACCTGGGTAACTCGACCATTGTTGCCGGGTTTTCTTTATACAAATGATCATTCGATCAATCGATAGTCTCCATATTATTTACAAAACACCTCACTTTGTAACTGCAGTTTATATTCGACAAGAGTATCAATATTTTAATGTATCTTATCTTTGTGGATTGAATAAAGCTTTCTCATTATAGAAAAATGTGTTTCTATGGAAGAAAAAATTAAGACATGTGTTTTAATTAAATTTTCTTGCCAAAAACATGTAAAAATTTGCGTTGCTGTTACTTCATTTTTCAGCTTTTTATGGCATTACAGAAGCATCTTGGACTCTATCAACCGTTCTAATTTTAAATAAAAACGATGTTTCGGAGACTAATTTGTCTCCGTACTGAGGTAAAAGCCAATCTATTGAGCCCAATCGACACAGCTACTAGTCCCTTGCTTGGTCATATTCCAATCTCTGAAACGTCGTTTTTAATGAACATAAAGCAGGATTTGAGGTTTTCACTGCTGTGAGTACGAAGATGGCTGTCTTCTGGGTTGCAGCGTCGT